TTTCTGAGCAACGTCCTTCATTTGAAAAGTCGATGCTCGAGATACAAAGGATACCGATCTCTTCACGACACAAAAAAAAACATGAAGACTCGGACTCATACCGCTTCCTCACTGCAAGGCAGGGAAATGTGTGGGCCAAGGAATCCAAAACGCGACTTTTCCCTTCTATTCGACTGCGTGGTTAATGACCTTCCCAACTGATGCAATCTAATCAGATTCAAGGTAAAAGGAGAAATCTGAAAGAGTGTAAGTGTTTCTTCTCGGATCAATCTTTGGTAAATCTGCTTCACGGATCTCGTTTAGAAAACTACAGTTCGTTGAAGTATTTTAGCACGAGGCACCAATTCGATGGATTTTGATTATTACAAAAAAAGACGAAAAATAACTACCCTTCGAATAATATCCCAGAAGGGAAATAATAATATTCCTGGAACCTGGTACGACGAAGAGTCGAAGTACTGTATATTACGATAGAATGACTGGTAATGGGAGGAAACCCGAGAAAAAGATGAAAAGCACATTGCACTATTCAGTGGACTACCCATGTACCGATTTTATTTGGAGGAATTAAAAAAGAACGAGCCTGGTTTATTTCAATGGAGAGCATCTTAAATTTGAGCTACTGTACCAATCATCTTTGGAAAATGTCATCATGCAAATTATTCTCTGGGCCTAATTAAAAGGATTTAATTTCCGTATCCGTTCATGGCGAAGGTCCTCCTCTCACTGGTATCCCAGCTCAAACGCTTCTGTCACTGAGGGGGGGGGGGCGGGGCCTGTGGGGGAGGGGGAGGGGGAAAGGGGGGGGAGGAAAACCTTGGAAGGTGTTCTTTGGGGGTGACTTGCGTTTGCTAGGACGGGGGTTTTCTTCGAAAATGCGACTTTTTTTTCCTGCAGAGGAGGAAAGAGTCGCTTCTCCACGTGCCGGCACGCGAGGAATCGGCACGTGCCGCGACTGCCTTTCTCCGTCCTTTTCCTCTTCATGGTTGTCCACACGATGAGGAAAGTGCTGCGACAACAAGGAAAAAGGCGACGAGCAAAAAACCTTAGTCGATAGAGGACCCTCATTCCTTTTCTGCGAGAGAAAAATATATCCGTGCCTGCGAGGAATAATAGCGAAACTTGCAAGACTTTGCTATTGGAATAGCAATATATAATATATATAGACGATGGTGACTGACTGACTGACTGACGCTAATTCTAACCCTGTTCCAGAAGGGTTAAAAATCTGAAACTTGGTACTGATGCACCTTTTGGGCTGCAGAGTTCAGAGAAAATCCGACTATGGAGGTACATGCCCTCGGGGTACCCTCGGGGATCACGGCGATGTCGTGACCCAGTGTGGCGTTCACTACAAAGGTCCTACATTCGAAGGAATATCGTTGTCGCATGAATAGGGAATTGCATCGATTAGGGGAAGTTTCGGTATTCTCTCTCTAAGATGTCAACGAATCATATTTGGTCCCTATGACATAGGTTAAAATTAATAAACGAAATGGAAAATACGAATACGAGTCGACTTCTTCTGCTGTCTTTTTCTTTGCTCAGAAACTGAAATCGCATCGTTGCAAATCCAAAAAAAATAGGAGGTTCATTCATGAGCTTTCGTAGAATCCTCATAGACCGAGAGACATGTTCCTGTTTCAGGCTCCAAACTTATATTGGCCAAAGTAAAAAAAAAATAATTGGGAGGATTGGCCAAGGGTGATATAGGGGTTCTTTGGTGGGGCAGGAGGAGGGAGATAAAGAGGGAGGGAAGAGGAGAAGAGGAAGGGAAGAAGAGGAAGGGAAAGAGGAGGAGCTCAAATAAATCGTTGTCAAAGCCATTGGGTACGCGGGACTCGAGAAGGAGAAGTGGAAAAACTCTTTGGTTCTGTTTAGCTTTTTAAAATAATAATTTATGGTACGAAAAATATGCATGAAGAGGAAAAAATGGTTTCACTACACAGCGAATGCAATACGTCAGAATAAAATTATTTATTCAGATGAAGCCAATTCCTTTTTGCGGAACAAATGCAATCATGGAGCAATTTTATCCGTGTTTTTTTTTTACAAGGTTTTCTCGGAATAGTGTATTAAAACAAAGGACAAGGCATTCGCCACGAAGCGGACCCCCCGGTTTTCCACGTGTTCGACGGAAACCCTGCCTCCAGAGCGCCAAGAACCAATTAGCTCGGACGCGGTCCCTAGTGTATTGGGAATCCTTCGGCGCTGTGCAAATAATGCAGCAGTACCCTACTTTAGGTTCGTCCCACTGGATAGAGTAAGAAAAGGTGAGAGCTGGAGAAATGTGGCTGAGAAGGCACGGGCTCTGCCACATAGAGACGCGGGATTCGGATCCAAAATCGGAGGCATCCTCCCTTAGTACCTTCTCACGGCGGTCTATGGCCTATTAGGCTTCCTTGGGGTGAGGCTCACTGTAAAATGTTTACAGGAGAAACTGGAGTAACACCCAGATTTCTGCACGCTTGTTGCGTAGAGAACCCCAGCATAGGGTGGTTGAAATGTCGCCGCTTAATTTCGAAATCGAGTAGATCCAAGAGGAAAGGGAGAGAGGGGGAGAAAACGATGGAAAAGATCCGCATGATGATTAGGCCTTAAATTGGGCATGTTCCTAAAGGGGAGAGGATATCATTCCAAATTAATACATGCTTCGATGAAGTCAACGGGACTGGAACGCTGCAATACTGATACCCGAATTATGACAAACTTCGAAGATGTTTCGGCTGCATCGTTACTTAATGTGTCATTTCACTCTCACACTTCATGGCTTTTCCAATGAAAAAGACTTGCATATCTCATCATTGTTGATCGCAAACACGAAGATGTTGTTCTCTCTACGAAAACAAATGTGAACGTTTTTCTTAATCGCCTGATTTTTCTGTTCGTCATTTTCCTCGTTGTCGCAGCACTTTCCGAATCGTGTGGACAACCGTGAAGAGGAAAAAGACGGATAATGACCCTCGCGGCACGTACCGATTCCTCGCTCGTCGGCATGAGACGTAGAGACTTTTTCCCCCAATACAGGAATGAAAAGTCAGGTTTCCGAAGAACACCCCTCCCTCGCGGACCCAAGTCACGTACAACGAACACCTTCCAAGGTTCTCCCCTCCCGTGAGAGAAGTGCTTGTGCTCGGAGGCCAGTCAGAGGAGAGCCTTCGCCATGAACGGGTACTTTAATTTCATCGTTCTTCTTCTAGCCCTACCCAGAGAGAGCCATCAGGGATGGATCAATAATATGCCGACTACGGGAAGAACAACGACGGGGACAACGGCTACCACTAGCACTACTACTACTACTACTACTACCGTTCCACCCTCGCCTTGCAGCCGATACACATCAACTCCGCCGCTGTTCCGTGAGTATTTTCCCAAATTTTGGAGGGAATCCATGTGCGACAATCGCAAGGAAAATATAATTTGCAAATGTTTTGACTTTTGAAATTGAAAAAAGCAATTTCTGGGATAGTTATATTCCGTTCCAACAGTGATAACATTAGAGAGGAAAATCTATTCAGAGGTTTCCCGCACAAATTGTAGGCAAGCGTCACTCTGAGATACTTTACGGATTGAAACTTTTGAGAAGTTTCAATCCATAAAGTAAGAGAAGGTTTTCCAAAGGAAGGATTCCATCCATTTAGTTTCCTCGTGCACTTTGCAGCAGATACTATTATACATCAGATCGGTCCTACCCTGTTGAACCTCATGACACATGGAGAGGAATGAAAGAGAGATGTTCAGTTTCAAGAAACGTATCATTGGACTAAATGTGCCCTGTACTCCAGTGGCGAATCAATGCGGACGATGGAACTTGCCCAGTGCATCCACCACAAGCAGCTGGTTCACACGATTCTTGGAGATTTTCCTGCTTCCACTGCGTGGGCCGGAACCGGAGAACAGAGAGGCGGACCCCCTGATCATCGGTGGAGCCCCTGCAACCATCGCGGAAGCCCCGTGGATGGCCTACGTCTCCATCACGAAACCGAGCGGATCCTTTTACTGCACGGGCTCCATCATCGACCAGCTCCATGTTTTGACTGCCGCTCACTGCGTCATGGACGGGTAAGTGCGACTTCCTGTACGGTTTGAGGACTTTTTCACGATGATATTTCTATCGGGGAGGAGTCGATTCGTTCATTTAATGTGCGACAATTTTAGAAAATATACATGTATCACCAATTTAGCACGAAAGCGCAAAGCACTTCCTTCGGCGATGAAGGGTATGCACTGGGATATCCGTTCATATACATTTTGGACGGTAAGAAAAGGATTCTCGGTTGGGCTCTGATGCAATAACGGGGGTGGTCATTCCTGTAGTAGATGGAGTTTATTCGAGTATGGGAAACAAAATGACTATATCTCCAATATTGCAACCGACGTCAACTGGCATTATATACATGACTTCCTCCACATTCTCTCTGATCGTATCTCTCGTATCTTACTTTCATCAAGAACGGGTTCGGCAAGCGCTGTCAGTGTCATCGTTGGAAACGAAAATTACCTACTGGGAACGAGTTATACAGCGGTATCCTGGAATCATCACCCGTTATATGACACCAGTGAGTGAAAGGAAAACACTTATTCTACTTTTAGATGCTGCTTGTATTAATGAGTCATCATTCGTAACTTTAATTTAAACAATATGGTAAGGTGACATCTTACATGTTTGGCATCGTACCGTCTCATGAGTTTCAACTCTCGATTGTACGAGGCGATGCGCCAGGAACTGAGATGCGTTTCCGTGCAGCAGAATGAACAAAGCTCATTTTCGCTCCAGCAGAGAAATTCATGACTGACGATATAACACTCAAAATTAGGTTTTTTTTATGACTAAGTGTCAGATGCTTTTTATTTTAGATAAATACATCCTCCATTTCTAATAAATTAACGAACTCAGGAATTTGTTGATGTTTCGTGAAATCTTATTCATAGGTTTTCATTTGCTCCTCCATCTCCACGTCCTCGCCCCTCTCATGCCCAATATCGTTCATGTATGAGAATAATTCGAAATCAATTTTTAAAAATATATAGACTAAATATTTTTTATGAAATAAAAATTTGGTTCTCTCTGACACATACTCAAGCTCGGATTGCAGCTAAATTATTACTTATCCCAGTTAATGATCCCTGCGCATTGGCTCTCTCTCTCTCTCTCTGCCAATCTCTCTTTGATTAAACACGAATCTCCACACCAGGGGAAACCTCTTACTGCCAAGCAGTGGTCCTACAGGTTGTGACTTGAGCATCGTCATGTCCGCATGCACAGAACGCTATGGACTCGGTTCTTCCAGGGTCTAAAGGTGTGAACCCTATTCAGCTAATGAACTGTGCAGGAGCGGTGCATGTAATACGGACTTAAGCTGAGGAAGTTTTCTGTTACATCTGTTACGGCAGCCACTTCTTTAATGATTATTCTCAGGTGTGGAGATGTCGAAAACGGTTTTACTGCACTGCAAGTTGTTTGATACTCTCATGCCCCTGACGAGACTCCTACTTGCCAGTCCATTAGGCCTCCTTAGCTATCCTTCGCTATTTTAGTATTCTCTTCTCATTTTCTCTCGATAGATCGGGTTCTTGCTGGCCGTAGGTCTGGCTTGATCGGCATGATTCTCTCACTATATGTATAGATGACAAATGAATTAAATACTTAAAAATGAGGAAATTCTCATTGCTCAACCGCATGGCAATTGATACAATTCTTTACCGCTTCGATTTATTCTTGGTTATCTGCAGCTGATATCACAAAGGGTCATGATATCGCCGTGATCAAGCTGAACCAGGCCCTGACCTTCTCGCGCTCCGTTCAACCGATCTGCGTGCCGAGATCCGACAGCCTGAGCGATGCCGGAGCTTGTCCTGCAAAAATTTTCGGATGGGGTCGTACCACTGAAACTCCGGCAGTCCGACCCCAGATTGTGCAGAAACTGGATGTGACGGTTCTTTCGAAGAATGCGTGTTCGAGTGAATTCGACAACGGCATCGTGTGCGTGAATGGGGTCATATCAGGGTCTGGAACCTGCTTTGTGAGTTATCCCGTTTCCTTCCCAGTTGCAATGTCCGATTCGGTTGAGAAGGAAAGAAATCGAGTCGATTTCAATCTGATATGAAAAATATTAGAATCCGTTTCTCTACGTCGTTTCAGGGAGACAGCGGAGGACCTCTGGTCGTGTACGTCGGCAGCGTGGCCTACGTCATGGGAGTGGACTCGTACATTTATGGCTCCTGTGGACAAAATCCCCCCCGATACGCTTGGGTCACTGCATACGTCGACTTCATCTCATCCGAAGTCATGACGGGGTGAAATGGGCGCAAATGTTCCATGCACAGGACTCGGGCTGATTTGAAATAAAGTCAGTTCTGAAATCGAAACGGTTTGGGGTTCACTGACGGAATTCCTTCCATTCGCATTGAAAATGTTGGTGACATCTGTTGGGATGGAAGCAGACGTAGAATGCAAAACATTTACGAGAAACCGTGACTTCGCCGCGAGCGACTTGCACCGGTAATAGTCTTCTTTTCGTGGAAAGATCGATCGCATCAGTCTGAGGAATGAAGTTGATAACAACAACAACTTGACAAGTTGAAGTTGAATAAGCCGACAAGTTGAAGCTGAAGTTGAATAATGTCGAGAATTTCGATACATTGCTGAAAGAGAGCAGTAGGGAAGGGATTGGGTCATTTTTTATATTACGAAGAAGAGAGACGTGAAAAGCGCAAATGCTGTAGCTCCATTTCCCAAACACGTGATTTTACGAGAAACCGTGACTTCGTCGCGAGCGGCTTGCTCCGGTAATATTATTCTCTTCGTGGGAAGATCGATCGCATCAGACTGAGGAATGAAGTTGATAACAAAAACAAATCGACAAGTTCAAGTTGAATAAGCACTGTGTCGAGAGTTTCGATACATTGTTGAAAGAGAGCTTCCAAACGATCTTTCCTTCGAAATGTGTCATTGAGGTTAATCGGGATACGTTTCTTGTAAAGTTATCTAGTGCAAATACATTTGCACAATGACGGATTTCTATTTGAGCTTGCGGTATCGGAGTCACGGCGTTATTTCCCCTCGGTAATGGTGGAAATTATGGGGTATGATGACATTGGTGTAGACGGGGTCACCCTATCGCTTTTTTTCACTCGTCGAGGCGGGCAGGCTTGTCATTGACAGTCGCTTGCAGGTTTGAATAAGTGAGTGGAATCTCCTTTGGGGCACTACAAGCCAACATATTCGGCGCCAAAGATCCGACTCTTTCAAGCTGTCCTAAATATGGGAGCAGGACATACATGCATGCACGCAGACATACATACAAACCATATACTTGGAACAAGTGCAATAGTAGGTAAGTGGTCTGTTCGATGTACCGGGTGTTGCACATAGATCCCCCCCCCCCCCCACCTGGCCCGCTAAAGCCAAAACTACAAAAGCTAGGGAAAAACCTCGTATTATCATGAGAGAGAGATAGCATTCATTTTCGAATCTAAACATGTACTTATCATAATTTTTAAGTACACAGGCTCTGTCTCTGAGAGCTTTAATACGAACGTGGTGAGACGAAAAGAGGCCCTTAAAGTTCATGGACAAGTTGCTTCGAGTAATGTTTCAAGTAATGCGAATGGTTCGGGTAATGCGAACGACTTTAGCAACGGCGGTTGCTAAAGTCATTTTTTAAATTTCCTCTGGAGCACGAGCAAAATCGATTTGCTACGAGACAATGGTTGCCGGCTGGTGCATGAGCAGGCGCGCCTTCCCGAATGGTTCCCTTAGTGCCCGAGATGTGCCGCATTTCTTCGCGCGTTTCTCACTTCGCTGATCGCGATGATTCGCGCATTTCTGAGCAACGTCCTTCATTTGAAAAGTCGATGCTCGAGATACAAAGGATACCGATCTCTTCACGACACAAAAAAAAACATGAAGACTCGGACTCATACCGCTTCCTCACTGCAAGGCAGGGAAAGGTGTGGGCCAAGGAATCCAAAACGCGACTTTTCCCTTCCATTCGACTGCGTGGTTAATGACCTACCCAACTGATGCAATCTAATCAGATTCAAGGTAAAAGGAGAAATCTGAAAGTGTAAGTGTTCCTCCTCGGATCAATCTTTGGTAAAACTGCTTCACGGATCACGTTTAGAAAACTACAGTTCGTTGAAGTATTTTAGCACGAGGCTCCAATTCGATGGATTTTGATTATTGCAAAAAAAGACGAAAAATAACTACGCTTCGAATAATATCCCAGAAGGGAAATAATAATTTTCCTGGAACTTGGCACGAGGAAGAGTAGAAGTACTGTATATTACGATAGAATGACTGCTCATGGGAGGAAACTCTAGAAAAAGATGAAAAGCACATTGCACTCTTCAATAGACTAACCAGGTACCAATTTGATTTGGAGGAAGTAAAAAAGAACGAGTCTGGTTTATTTCAATGAATACCATCTTAAACTCGAGCTACTGTACCAATCATCTTTGGAAAATGTCATCATGCAAATCATTATATGGGCCTAATTAAAATGAATTAATTTCGGTCCTACTTGGAGGGGATTTGATTCGGAGCCAAGGGATCCCATGGTGTGTTGAATTCCCGGCTGAAGAAAGGTCATTTGGTACAAATTCTTGAGCCGCCGACGGCACGATTCGTCGGAGCGACTGCGAAGCGAATACTAGAAGGAGACAGGCAAGGGCAGGGGCATGGCGCCTCGGATCCGTAGCTGTTGGAGGTTTACCGTTCCCGTAGCGGCTTATGGTCTCTGGGAATCTGGACACTGTCGTTTGGCGGCAGCAGGGAATGGATAGGGTCATTTTGTATGTTACGAAGAAGAGAGACGTGAAAAGCGCAAATGCTGAAGCTCCATTTCCGAAACACGTGATTCGGGAACGAGGATATCCTTGAAATCCTGAGAGACTTGTGGTGCCTTCAAAACGTTATAACCAGATCATCTTTCTGAAGTTAATTAGGATTAAGCGAGCTTTTTTGACGTTCTTTCCCTAAACGTCGGTTTCGGGTAGTCCTAAGCTTCCGAGTTAAGCATCGACTGTTATCCCTACAAGTGCCACTACCTGTTCGAAAAGACTAGGACCGGACCCAATCCTCTGAACAACTGTTTATTTCAATGAACCTGAGATGTTCCCGTGCAAAAAGTTCCCGGCATTTCATCCGCCGGTGATTTCAGAGGAGATGAAGGCGACGTTGGAGGTGATCCGAGTGAAATGGGAAGGCGCGAACAAACACGGCTCTACACCAGTAGAGTCCACGCCCATTGCGTAGGCTATGCCGTTGACATACAGGACCAGTGGTCCGCCCTTGTCTCCCTGCAAGGATGTTCGAAGCCTCAAATCAATACTTTTTATCCGAAGGGGGACGCAATCAGCCCAATGGAACATGTATTCGAGAAAAACAGCTGAAAACGCAACAGAAACGTGAAGACTCACCTTACAAGTTCCAGTCTCCGGTGTGACACCCCTGTTGCATATGATCTCCCTGTCGTACTCAGTCGCGCAATCGTCCTCGGGAAGGTCGGTTGCTGTCACTTTCTGCAGAACGTCGGTCGCAGTCTTGCCATCTGTCGTGATGGCGCCCCAACCGAACATCTCGATGGTGCAGGCTCTTGGATCGTTCAGGCTGTCGGGACCTAGGGATGCAGATCGGCTGGATGGAGGGCATGAATTGCAGGGGCGAAGCCAGTTCGATCGCGGCGATGTCGTGGCCCAGTGCGGCGTTTACTGCAAAGGAGCTGAGATGGCAGATAGCAAACTCTTCGTACAATCGCGGCGGAACGGTGCCCTGTAAATCCTCTCCCATGCGTCGCAATTAATGCGCCACAATTAATAAACGGGGTTGAAAATGCGAGTATGAGTCTACTTTTTCTGTAGTCTTTTTCTTTCCTTAGAAACTGAGATCGAATCGTTGCAAACTCAAAAAAAATAATAGGAAGATCATTCATGTGCTTTCATACAGCCCTCATAGACTGGGCTTCCGAGTGACATGTTCCTGTTACAGGCATCGGATTCATGCTCCAATCCGATATTTGCCAAATTAGACAAAATAATGCGGAGGATAGGTCTTGGGCGAGATAGAGGTTATTTTTCAGTTTTTTTTTTTTATTGGGGCAGGAAGAGGGAGAGGAGGAGGGGAAAGAGGATGGTAGGAAGAGGAGGAGAAGGAAGAGGGGAGAGAGGAGGGGAGGGAGAGGAGGAAGAGGAGAGGAGGGAGAAGGAGAGGGAGGAGGGGAAGAAGAGGGAAGAGAGAAGGGTAGGAAGAGGAGGAGAAGGTGGAGGGGAGGGAGATGGGGCTCAATATTCGGCCTCACCCGGCTTTCGGCAACTGAGTGCTGCGTTCCTTGCATCGAGTTGCCCAGCAACTGCACGGCTCTCCTACACTCTAAGAAAATTCCGAGCGTTTGGGGAGTTCGTCCCTTGCAGGATTGTTTAGTACCTTGCCATATGTCTCACCTAGTCTCATTATAGGAATCAACAAACACGGACACTTCATCATTTGTTATCCACATATTCAAGATGTACTCATAGAGTCCATGCCATGAACAAGCTCATATTCCTATTGAGAACCCCCTTGGAACGCAGGTGATTTTATCCGCGTAGGAGATCTAGAATACGTAGAGTGTATCCGTGAACTTCATTCTCTCGTACCTCAATTAAATGAGGTGATAAGGACTGATTTCCCGGACTACTCCACGGAACCAATAGGAGGTGGTCCACCCTTTGACGTGTGATGTAATCAGTACAGTCAGAGGTTGGTCAACACATGTACAAGAGAGATAGCGACACAGAGAATATAAGGAATTTTTCGCATTTGCACGACATCCCTATCACTTTCTGATGGGAGGGTTTTTACTCACTGAGGAGGAGAGCAATTTTACTCCTTCATGATGGAGTTTTAAACAAGGAAAGGGTCTCACTTTCCCCCCACTTTGAGGAGTTAGCTATTTTGCTCTCTTTTTTGAGAAAAATCGCTCCCCTTTTTCTAAGAGTGTATTCCTGAGCGCAGCATTCGCTGTCTCTTGTTGCGGCCCTACGCTCCCTACGTACAGCTGCGTGCTGTTCATCACTCATCCTAGCCATTACGACCACCTCCTAAAGCACCGATTTAGGCACTTCACACCGCAACTGCAGTGGCAAACTTTGTTTCCCCGCCAGCACCAATTGTTTTTTACCTGCAGCGAATGCCTCATCGCCGTCACCTCCTTTAACATTTTTTTCTTCACCTTCAACCTCGCCTCGCAAAAATCGCCACCATTTTGATGGGAGGAGCGGGAGGAGCGAACGAAAAGGAAACTATGGACGGTGCGAGAATCGAACCCAGGATCTCCTGATTACCGGTGAAGTGTGAGGTGCCAACACCACCAAACCCATACGCTTGGTCTTTCCTCTCCATACCAAGCCTAACATGACATTGGAAGAGAGAGGCATTCTACGCATTCCCCCCGCTCCCTACTAAGGGGGGGTATCATACGGACTGTTCCGCAGGGACGTGTAAAACGTATTACGAGATACACAGGTGTCTCCTTTTATCCTTGGAGAAAGGTTAATCATGCGCAGGGATGAGATCTCCGCCCATATATTTACCGAGATTCCGACCCCTTCATCGATCAGAACGCCGGCCTCTTATTGATCGGCATTCTCCACTTCATGACTCTCCCACTGAGCTAAGAAAAAGAACTGCAGGTGGCGGACAATAGACTTGATTTGCTGCAATTAGAAGCCATCTTAATTGGGATCATGGCGACTCTTCTCCACTCGCCTACAATGGTATTTTCATTATATTCCATCCCAGTTTTCTTGTTGTCGTGCACATGATGGAAGGCAGTGATGGTACTGGTAAGCCTAATAATTCCGGGGGGTGTTTCATGGGCCTGATAACGTAAGGTCGGAACAATCCTTTCATGGGTGCGAGTCCCCAATTTCTCGCGTGGACCTCAAGTTCCAGGCCTCCCTTTGCTGAGATTGCTGGGCCTACGAAGGTGATAAAGGCCGCCCTTGCATCATCACAGTCGACAGGGTGAAAACGGCATGATCCCACCTGTATGACACTGGAGCGCTTACTCTTGGATAGGAAAGACGACGTCGACAGTGTCGTAACAATCCCGTTTCTCTTTATCCAATTTCTGGAGTGGGCCTCAAGTTCCAGGCCTGCCTTTCCTCAGATTTTTTGGCCTAAGAAGGTGATAACGTTATGCCGCCCTCGCATCATCACTGTCGACTTATTTTACACCCGGTCTAAGGCATGAAGTCAAAAGAACTTTACTTCGTTTGACGAAATGAAAATTGAAAGGCAAAAATAGGCTAAAGGAGATGAAAGGCGACCATGGTGCATGGTAGGTGCATGGTCGGTGCATGGTAGAGGTGTTAGCGGGTCTCGGCAGGGCGTGCTTCCGCATTCAGTAGGGCTGCTCCAAAACTCCCGCGGTATCTGCTCCTTTACTTCGCCAATGCGCCCGTTTTAAATTATATTAATCACTTCGCACGTGAATCGCTGGCATTTTTGCTAAGACCTATTCCAAATCGCTCTTTTCAACCATTAGGGTAAGCTGAAACATTGGATCCATGTGCATGACAGAAAGAACTCTTGGAACGACTCAGTAGCTCCTACTGGTTCCTCCGAGAACCTATTTTGCCTGCTGTGTCGGGGCTGTTTTCCTTTGCCTTAGTATTTAGAAAGAAAGAAGAAAGTTGGGTTGAAAAAGTCGAGGAAAATCCCATAGGAGTGAATGGTGTCATGAGCCCTAAAAGTATGACTTCCAACTGCAGCAAGCATGCCTGTACTGTTCCTATGAGTGCGACCTCTCCAGTTTTTTCTAGGCTCAGTGGCTCTCCCATAGCCATACTGACAGGTACACGCAACGTGGCATGAGGCCATTAACATTTGGAAACGCGCGCGGCAGGTTGCGATGTGAGTGGCGTGAGGCCGCGGATAAGAGCCCACATACCACATTGTCCTACGAGGCGATGATCTGAGGTAGCGCCTTGATCTTTGGTCGCCCTTCGTCTTCGCTCGGCGTCGGTTCCTCGTCCTTATCAATGACGATTAACGAAGCGCAGGGGCAGACCGAGAAACTAGGGGTCCTTTTGTCGCGTCCTGTCTTCTCACATGACCAGCCACGGGCAGGGGGAGCAGGAGGGAGGCGGGAGTGTGGCAACCGCCTCTCATGGCCATGTGCGGATTCTGCGCCTCTAAATACTTCCGTGCTTTTGCACGGGCTACCTACTAGTGTTTGCAAATACTGATTGTTTCATGAGATGTAAAGTGTTTTTATTCGTAAATGAATGTCAATGCCTCTCGTCACAGAATAATGATGGAGGACTGAACGTATTCTACAGTTGAGAAGAGGTGAAGACATCCTTGGAGCCTCACGTGCAAGCGCAGTTTGCTTCATAAAAACATGGAACGAAGGTAATTAACAAATATTAATTGCGTGTATGGACGAAAGGCGGACGGGTTGGATTTTCTCGTCAAAGACGATGACTCCTGAAGTAAATATTGTTGCTAAAACTTTGGACATTGTATACAGTACTCACAAGGGGTTCTTTTTTCCCAGCTGGTCATTTTTGTTCTTCACATGACCCGTCTTGGCCAATAAATCATTTCTCATTTTGAAAAAATTCCTAACAGGTAAATATTTAGCAACAAGGTAGCATAGGGTGCATTGAAGCGGACGATAGAAATGATAACTTATTCAGAAAGAGTTTCCCAGAGTGTTCACGTTTTGTTCGCGAAGGTTGTAACATTCATCCACGTGAGCTACATCTCATTCCATTATCATGGAAATCTCACGTGGAGCCATATTTTTTTAAATAGCGTAAACTATTTTCTTTACCGATGGTAGCAAGTCATGAGGAAAGTACGATACTTCACAACGTCACAATCATAGCTATAACATGAATAAGCGCTGGTTTGATCTTTCGTGCTCTCAGTTTGTCAAAGAATTGACTGAAGAAAGTCTATTTACAAATTATTTTTCCCGAGACAACCTGATCATTTTAAGCCTCATTTTTCGCTTGGACATGTTACTTCATGTGGTCTTTCCTTTTACATATATATAATCAATGCTCTCCCTCCGGGTTTAACTCAACATTTGGAATGCAATTTCACATAACTTCGTACGACGGGAGGTGGAGTCCAGATAACGAAGACGAGCAGTTGCAGTCGAAATAAAATTCCTTTCCCAGACGAAAACATTAAAAGTAATATTAACTTGAATTTAAAGAGATTTCTAGTGTCAGGAAATGTGAAAATCCAACTAGTCGAATAACAGAAGAAGATCATATGCATTTGGAGACTCTCACATCTTATGTTCTTTTTCACTAAATATTCTTTCATGATGCATGAAACATATTTTCCTAGATTCATCGTAGCTGTCGCATTTTATTTTTCTGATTTCGCTTTCGACCTTTCCTGGATAGTCCAAGCCCAAGCGATTTCACTGGTCGACTTTGAAATTACTATATCTTCTACATCTCTGACTTTAAGAAAATAACCGTAATTTGAGCACCTGAAAATGGGAATAGGAGCCCTGATTGGGAGGGTATGGGCATTCACTCATTTGTTTATGAGTTCAACCACATGCTCTCCTCGATCCAGTCAACAAACCTGATGGAAAGAAAGAACAATATTAAAGAGTCAAAAATACCCAAAAACCCGAAAAAAAATTTTTTAAAATTCAGTCATCGGTGAATGGAACAGGTTAAATTCTTCCTCTTTTGGGTTCCAATAACTGATATATGTATTTGGAACTTCAGTCCCTTGCGTGAACTTGTTGCATTCGTTCATTCCTCAGAAAGATAGGAATTTGACTTTTTGGCGGATCATTTTCTCGGGTTACTGCTAGTAGTTTCAACACAAACAACATATCTTAATTGTTATTTCTTGAGATGGAAATATTGGGTTGGAAAGAAAGTCTTGCAACACTCTGCAAATTTGTCAAAATTTTATAACATCATTGAAATGCAATTTCAGTCTACAATGTAATGACCATTGTTGTCTATGACATGTTCCCAACGCACGGGTAACTGCTCGATGCCCTTTGCCCAGAACTTTGGCGATTGCGAAGCGAAGAAACGGTCAACATCATTTTCGAGCCGTGCTTGATCGTCGAAGGCCTTGTCCCACAGGTGATTCTTGAGGGCCCGGAACGAGTGATAGTCGGAAGGGGCCAAGTCCGGAGAATACGCTGGATGGGATAAAACTTCCCAGCCCGGTTCCGAAATCGTCTGGCGAGTCATCTTCGCAACACGTGGACGAGCGTTGTCATGCAGAAGGAGAACTTTTTCGCGTTTGGGACGCTCTTTTTCAAAGGCGCCAGCCAACTTCTGAAGTCGAGCAGCCTAGACGACGGCAGTCACGGTGGTACCGGTTGGCAGGAGTTCATAGTAGAACATTCCTTCTGAATCCCACCAGCAGTAGCGAAGAACCTTCTTCTCGTGGAACCCTGGTTTCGGTTCGTGTGGCGGCAATTCTCGTGGAAGCCACTGACTCTTGCGAGTATGGTCGACGTAGAGGACCCAGCTCTCATCTCCAGTAACGATTTCCTTCAGAAGGTCCTTTCTGTGCAGACGATGGAGCAGTGATTCCCAGACACTGACAAGGCTTGCTTTGTCAGAGTCGCCGAGCCGATGAGGGACCCATGTCGAGTAAACCTTCCGATAGCCGAGATCGTTCGGATGGTTGCCGATGGCCATATGGGTGACTCCAAATGTAGTCGCCGATTCGCGAGTGGTGGCGTTCGGCTTCGCGTTCCGCAGGGCTAAGTCATCGACTGTAGATGGAGGTCCTGAGCGTGGTCGATCTCCGAAGGTCGTGTCGCCAGATTCGAAGCGTTTGAACCATCGAGACACCGTGGAATAGTGGACGACGTTGCCTTTGAATGCAGCGCAGATGTTGTCCGCGGCGGCTCTCGCAGAGTGTCCTTGGAGGAACTCGTAGTAGACGATGGGGCGAAGAGTTGCTCGTTCGATCGGAGCCATGGCAGCCAACTAATGGCAGAAGCCGCCTTATATTCCCGAGGGCAGAAGCTTCGAGAACATTTCAGCATATGCAAATGCAAAGCCCCGCCCATCATTCCTTTTGGAAATTTTCATAAATAGTTTTAGAAAGTGTTGCAAGACTTTCTTTCCAACCCAATATATGAAACGTGGACTGATTGATTTACACTCTGTATTCCCCGAAATATTGAGTATTTAAAATATTTGAACTAACCTATTTCTTAAAACATTATTTCAAATTAAGCTTTATTTTAGGAATTCATAAATATCATATTTATAATAGGTGATTATGAGCGAGTACACTTGTTAATGCCCTTTAGCATAGTCATTCGTGGTGGAGATAGGTTTCAAAGGTTTTTCTTTTTAAAAATCTGAAAAATCCTGTGACTTCCAGTGGGAGCAGATTCAGCAAGAGAGAGGTGGAAGGGAAGAAAGAAGAAGGGATCCATGACATGATTAAGATATTAATAGTGAGGAGTGAAGTCAGACCCCTAGGACATCATGAAATTACATCATGAAATTTGGAAATACTTTATCAATTATTAAATTTAAAAAATTACGTTTCTCACGCTTTGACACAATGTTAATAAGGAAACAAATAAATATATTATCCCTCTGACATGTTCAAAGAAGGATATAAGAAAACTCTAAAACAGTTCACTATTCACGAGGAACCTCTGACAAAGAAGAATTGTAAAATCATGTTTCTCTTTAAATACAGGGTGGTCCACAATTGTTTATACATCCGCTTTCAATGATATATGGCTCTCATTATAGCCAATTCAATATATTTTAATCGAAAAATAATTTCAATATTTTCTATCAAACAGAAAGAAAATTACATCCTTACGAATAAAAACACACAAATCACTAGTAATTTCCACAATTTTGATGACTTCTTACAGTCTCTCTTTGAATGCCAACAGAGCATCATCTCCAATGGCCTGTTTCAGCATATCTAGGTAGTCATAAATCCGCAATGAATCTCTTCAGGTTCAGAAACCTCTCATGATTTGCCCTCATGATCTTTTCATCAGGAACTGAGACATTCAGAACCAAACTGAAGAAATTTTCCATTTTTCCCTGCACAAATTTGCTCTCTTCAAATTATCAAACCAAATAGAAATATTCATCTTCTGCCGGATACCGAGGTCACCCATGACACAGACAATTCCTCGCAATGGATGAAAAACCCACGAATGAGTTGCGAATTTCAGATGAGATTATGATATTTACAGGCTTTAGTTGCATGATATGGGTACTTCATTCATTATGATGTAACTTTGTTCTAGTTTCGCATAGAATGCTGAAATATTCCAATATAAAAAGATATTAAATTGGCTATCATTTAGGTCATATATCCTTCAAATCGAATGTGAACTTCCCGAGTTAGAAGCTTTTACCTTCAGTGCGGCAACTGTGGATCACCCTGTACACAGTTTATTTTAATTTTTTTTTATTTCAATGATATTTCCGAGGCAACTTAACTGAGGAGGGGCATGGGAAGATGTTATATCTTACTTATTAACTCGAGCGAATACTCCATACTCGCCAGGTTCATAATTGGAGCAATCCCGTCCCGCCTTTGTATAGATATGATTGACGATTCCTTCGACCACCCATTGACTTTTGAGAAGGCTATGGGAGGCGAAGACCATGGGACTCCCCGAATCCCCTGGGCACACTGTCTTGTGTTCTACAGGAATATAAGTTTGTCACTTTCAAATACTGAAATTCATGAGTTCATAATATCCCAGAGGTACTGCAATTGAGTGTAAATAGCACGGTCATTAATATTCCTAGTAGCAGAAACAGACCATGTATGTCTTCTCACTTCTCCAGTTGGCCTAAAATTCGCGTCCATACTGCAGCACACAAGTTTTTCTTGTATTGAATATGTACTTCCATACGTCCCATATGAAATAATAGCAAATAATGAAAGTTGTACGCGATTGGAATGATAGTGTCTCATACCTTTCGCATCCTCATACACGAACGAGGAAGCATTGTAGCGTTTTCCTGCACAAAATGTTTTCGTGGTGATGGAAGTAGGGTGCTTGTCTGCCCTTATGTTGATTTCCATTCGGCATTCAGGCCTTGGTATGACTTCCAGTTGCACCTCTGTCAAGACATCTGTTGCTTGGTTTGAGGCGTCTCTTCCCCAACCTGCCACCTGACGTTAAACCGATCATTTAAAAAAGATGACTGAGAAAATGAGCCATTTGAGCGATCGTGGCTAACCCATCCTCGGTCAGGACGGCCATATTTATCTTGAGCACCATCTAAAATTTCATCAGACAGGTTCTCATTGGAAGGTAGACAGATCAACTGAACACGTTCCGTCAGATTAGCTGAATCTTCGAGTTTTATCAGGGCGATGTCCGATTCCAAGCCTGTGAATTCCGCCTTCGGGATGATCTGAGTTACCTGCAAGCAATACGGAATTGTCGGGATCTATCTGGGATCGAAAAACCATTTTAGCATGAAATATCACGAAATGCGTTTGCACCTTCATCTTTTGCACGACTTCATCGTTCATGGACACATCTCGATAGTGCATGCCGAGATAGACGAATACATTGTTCACATCTTGAACTGCAGATATATTTTCTGGGTTCATGACGCAATGTGCCGCCGTGAGAACCCATCGTTTTCCAATCAAGGCTCCTCCGCAAATGACATCCTTGAACTGCACGTCATAGATGGCAGCTTGCCAAGGCCACGCCCCAAGTTCTGCTTCCTCCCCTCCTCGAACCAATTTCTGAGGCGATGCAATTAGTTTTTCCATTCGGCCACACTCTAGAAGCGCAGGAGAATCCACCTTGCAAATCCTTTATGATACAAGTCCTACCAAATCGACCATTGAAACAATTGTTCGATAAAAACAGACCAGGCTCACAGAACGGGTCAGGGCCCGTCCATTCTCCATTCGCTCCACATGTCCGAACACGTGGACCCCTTAGAATATAATAGCCATCACAGGTGTAGTTCATTTTACTTCCTTGAGGGTATTTTCCACCTTGAATGCATTCTGTTTCATTTCGTTCACTGAAAGAAAAAGAGTTTATTTTTCGGTAGCCAGGTTAAATGTTTCGACTTCATAGGAACTTCATAGCGTATTAAAAAAATGGGAACATAAAGTCGCTTCTAGAATCCTTCTAGAATCTAGAAGATTCTTCCAGCAAGTAATATTACATAATTTGTAAATCATTTTTTTCTTTCATAACGAAGTTCCATCCTGAAATGCACCAAAAAGGTATCTCAATTCCCACGGTTTTCATGCAAGCATCTGCATAATTGCATGGTGACTCTGGTATATGTCACTTTATGAAGAAGGGGAGGAAATCCGGTATTTCTTCCTGAGAAAACACGAGAGCGAAGTTGAATAATCTTACCTCTGTCCATGATTAGAGCAAGAGAGGAAATCGAAGCGTCCGTGTAGGATGCCGGGAAGGGGTCCACACTCGCTCACTTTTGCCTAAAACCAGTAATGACAATCCTTTATTATTTTACCAAGCAGGAATAGACATGGTGTCATGACATTCCTGGCCGAACATAGTCTTACACGTTCATGACGAGGTGGAACTGATGCAACGGAGCTGATGCAACATACTTGGGTCTCTTGAGGACAGGAAAAGGAAGTATTGAAAGTGCCCACATTGCAGAAGTAAGCCTGTTGCGAGTCGATGCATCTTAGACCTACTAAACCGTTGGGACGCTGAGGACGGCTTGGTCTTGTCATCTCCTCGCTAGGACATTTTCTTAGTGAACTTGTCAGATCAGGATCTTTTAAATTGGTCCCATTTCCACATGTCCCGCTCATTTTGTTCATCAATTCAGGAGCAAATGCCAACCAGGCTAAATCACAGTCACACTGGATGGGATTGTCTGGAATAGAGGAGGGACAGAGTGCAAGAAAAAGAAGAAAGAAGAGCGAGAGAAATGACGAAAGAGGCACTCACTTTCTAGGTGGAGAAAACCTTCTCCCTGGGAAATGTCCTGCAGGATCCGTTGAAGGATCCACCCTTCAAGTTTGGCTATAGAGTTACCTGTAAGAAACACTTTCGTGTGGGCCCCAAGACCTGGAATGGACGTGGAAAATCAGTCGGGTCATTCCACGGACAAGGGACACAATTGTTAAAACGTGAAATCCTATATTTTCTGATAATTATTGGTGACTAAGGTAGTATTTTATGTTAGTCCACTGCACGCTAGCTGTACTGTCAAGTGCGATGCACCAAGAATGGGAGTAATAGGATGAACTTTAAAAAGCAGTATATATTACCTATTGAGCTTCGTGTAGCTGCGATACGAGCAACTTTTCTGATTTATTGATTCCTGAAGATTGATTCTGATATGCAGACATCATGAGACATACATACGTTGGATGTCACCCGGGCGTCACAACGAAAGCGCCGCCATCCAGGTTGGGAGGATTCCACCATAGAAAAGCATGGGTTCCATGTTGAAGGTGGTACGAATTGATTCGCAAAACTTTGTAGGTGTGCACCGTCCAATCAGATTTGAAATATCATCAATCAAAGATGAGTTATAGGCTATCGAATTTTTCACCACTATGCTACACTCGGTAGAGCCCTGTACGGGCCGAGTTTACGGTACCCAACCACGAAAGGCCTGATTCAAGTCATGGCCTTTGACCCAAAACCCTCATTCCGAACAAATTCACGGCCCAACCTGACCCGAGCATAAGTTAAACGCTTTAACCTATACTTTCCCGTAAATTTCCTCATCATTCCAAGTTGCCTTGTAGAAACAGGAGGTTGTCGATAGTTGGCATGAGAGCATTTCTTGGAAGAGAAAACGAGCCATACAGATTTCTGTTCCGAGTTGCATTAACTGTCCCATGTCCGTCTCAAATTCTTCCTTCATTTATATTCACGGTCATACAATTTAGTGTTTCCCCTCCCTCAGATTTTATGCATGAAAATTTCCTGTCATGACACGGGAGTTTCCATGGTCTCAGAGCAGAACATCAATAACATTTAAATATTAGAATTTCACACCGTCTGACCCGATCCGTAGAAGGATCTTTAAAAAAAATTTAGAGCAAGACCCTGGTCAGGTTGGGTCCAGACAATTGGGCCGCGCCGCAGCCCGTGAGGGGGATCGATATTGAGATCCACGGTTCCATTTCCACTTGCAAAATGGCAATGTGAAGGCCGATACTCTGGTAACGATTGCACCTATGTACTGAATATCGTGTTCCGAGAGGTTTTGAATTTCAAATACTGTAAACTTAAAAAAAAGTCAATTTCTAAGATTCATTGAAATTTCGCGTGTTCTTCCAAGAAAAACACAAGAGACAAAATTTCTATAGCTACTATTCTATGATGGATTTCAAAACGTATTTCTTTCGACCACATGCCTTCAGGATGTTAAAAAGTATTTGCTGTAAAATCTGCATATTGCTATATTCTCATCTCGCGCAATTTGCACGGGGCTCCACTAGTTATATAATAATAATATATTCAAAGGGATTAGCCCAATTCCGTTACGGATTATCAATGAAATCCCAATATCGAATACTCACGATTGCTTTCCTTTAAAATGGAAGCCGAAAATCCGTCGACCCGGCTGTCGCCATAGAAGACTGGGAGAGAAGTCAATGAATTGTGGCTGAGATGGAGTTCCCTCAATTTGGGAGCCGCCCATCCCTCGAACGCCACCCTCGTTATCTTATTGTCTTTGAGGTTGAGTATTTTTAGGCTGTCGCTCTTGATGACTGGGACAGAGGTCAACAAATTTTTGCTGAGAAAGAGTTCCCTCAATTTGGGGGTCGCCCATCCGTCGAACGCCACACTCGTTATCTTATTGTCATTGAGGTAGAGTATTTCTAGACTGTCGATCTTAAAGGCCAGGAAAGAGGTCAACAAATTTTTGTGGAGATAGAGTTCCCTCAATTTAGGAGTCGCCCATTCGTCGAGCTCCACACTCGTGATATTATTTTCGCTAAGATTGAGTATTTCTAGGCTGTCGCTCTTGATGGCCGGGACATAGGTCAATAAATTGCTGTTGAAAACGAGTTCCCTCAATTTGGGAGTCACCCATCTGGCGAACTCCAATCTCTTGATGGAATTGCTATTGAGATAGAGTATTTCTAGGCTGTCGCTCTTGATGGCCGGGACATAGGTCAAGGCATTCTTGTGGAGATAGAGTTCCCTCAAATTGGGAGTCGCCCATCTGGCGAACTCCAATTTCTTGATTAAATTGCTATTGAGATAAAGTATTTCAAGGCTGTTGCTCTTGAAGACTGGGGCAGAGGAAAACAAATTATTGTAGAGGTAGAGTTCCCTCAAATTGGGAGTCTCCCATCCGTCGAACTTCACACTCCTGATGTTATTGTCATTGAGATAAAGCACTTCTAGGAGGTCGCACTTGATGACCGGAACACGCTGGCCGGAAGAACGGAGAGAGAGAACATCCCATTCGGGGAGTCGCCTGGAGGAAAGGGAAGAATGAAAGGTATATTTCAATGTTCATTTAGTCAGGGAATATAGAGCTTACTCATGCATATCCAGATATCAAAGGTCGAGAAACAAAGAATGATCCAAGCCTCTTATGGGAATTCCACACACAGAGAGAGAGAGGGAGAGAGAGCTACACAGACTTATCAAATCGTGCACCTCCCTGAATTGCACAATGAATTGAGGGAAGAGATAAGGAACCACTTTTGCCAACTCAGGCAAACAGCTCCTTAGTTGCATTTGAAGTGTGCAGGCAACACGGATACCATCTAGTGGGGATTCTTGGTACTGCATGTGGATCATGGCATGTAACATGCTATGGGGGGAGGAGCGCCAGCTTTACATTGACGGACAATACTGTCCGCTTGTTCGGCAACTTCCGCTTTGGGACCAATCATCTCAGTAATCGGTGATCGAACGAATTACTCTGTGCAGCATATGATTTTTTAAAAAGCCAAACTCTTCTTCTATAGGTGTGTAAAGTTTCATTAGAATCTATCCTATAGTTATAGAGATTTGTCAAGTGAGAGCAAATCGCATGCAGACTGTTTTGTATCGAGTGTCAAAACTTCAACTGGATTCACTTATTCAACAAATTCAACACTCTGTCCACATCCTTTTGGTTTCAATCACAGCCTCAAGTGGCCTAGGCATGCTATCCACTAATCGACGTGCTCCTTCGTCGATTTTATTTCACTCTGTTTGGACCCGCTCCAACACCTACAGCATACCTTTGGGTGGTTCCTCGTACTGGTTGAGACGCCGCTTGAGGTGGGCCCAGAGATGTTCGATGGGATTTGGGTCTGAAGACTGAGCTGGCTACTCCAGGACCTCGAACCGCTGTTGATTCAGTCGCTGTTGGACACTCTTCGCATCATGTTTTGGGTCGTTGTCATGCTGGACAATAACTCGGTTGACGTCGAGATCCTACCAGTTGATCGTTTGCAACAATTCATCCTCTAGGATGAATTTGTAAAGCTGCTGGTTCATGGTGCCGTTGATCATGCACATGTGGTTGGTTCCCTTGATCGTCATGCGGTCCCAGATCATAATCGAGCCGCCTCCGTGCTTGACAGTCTGCTTGATGCGTCTAGCTTGCCAGCGTTTCCCCTCATGCTTCTAGTACTAGGCGCGTTCATCTCAGCCAAAACGGTTGATTTTGGTCACATTCGGCCAAATGACTCGCTTCCAGTCATCAATCATCCAATCTATGAGGCATATGGCGAACTCCAGTCGGGCCTTGATGGCTGGCGAGAGTATCGGCTTTTCTTCCTGCTCTGATGCATCTGAACCAGCTTCCTGGAGAGCATGACGAACGGTCTTGACGATAACTTCGAATCCCACGTCGTCCTTGAGCTTTGTGGTGACCTTCGTGGCTGTTCCCAGCTCACCAGAGATAATGGCACGGAACAACACCGCTTGTCTTGAGACGTCAGCTTCTGGGGACGACGAACTTTCGACCCTTTGCGTTCACTAAAATGCTCATTCTGGATCTTTTGGACGGACGATTTTCTGACGTTACATCGCTTGGGAATCTCCCTGAAGCTATAGCCTTTTTGGAGAAGCGACAGGACGTTTCCTAGGGTGCCGTCAAAAACAAAACGTCCACCCTCCCTCCCCTGTGGATTTAGAACTAGGTGGATATCCCCATAGGCGTTATTTCTACCTATTGGAGCGATGTCCACCAGGGGAAAACCCACAGGTAGGGAAAGTCCACCTGACTCGAAATACCTGGGCGCAAACGAATAGGTGGAATTCAACAGGGGGATTGTCCACCTGGGTCCAAATCCATCCCCTATCCGCCTGGTAGTTTCACCAGGTGGATAGGAGGCGGATGCTTTGTTAGGGTGACGCATGATGTCTAATTCAAGAAAGTCTGTGAAGAAAAATTAAGACATTCCTAGAGGAGGACGGCTTCTAAGCTATAGGCCAAAAGCGCATCTGAGCACGTGGCCTTTTTCCCCATGGCCGACACAATTTATCATCAGCACAATCTTAGTCTAAGCAATTGCATGAATCTCTGAATAATTCGTCGTGTTCAACGTGACATCACGTGCGCGTGATGGGATCAGAGTCCCATGGGCAAAACTGTTCGAATGTAGTCGTTTCCTTTCACTTAAAATTTCTCATAACCGCTGGATGGATTCTAATGAAACTTTGGACACTCGTGGAAGAAGAGTCTGACTGCAAATGATATCGCACAGAGTAATTCCATTATCCTATACCGAGATTGTTGGCCCCAAAGCGGAAGTTGCCGAACGTGCCGACAGTTTTGTCCCTCGATGTATGCCTTAAAAATAAGATTTCCTTGAGTTCAGTTCTCCCAGTACTGCTTCACCTCCTTGAGTTCACCTCCATGCCTATTACCTTTCTTCCACCCCTTCGCGTCACAAAATTCATCCTCCCCTCATTCCTCTCTGAGAGCATGAACAGGATTGAAACTGGGTATGCTTCCTCCGCCTTCTTACCAAAGTATCGCTCCAGCAAATTTGAAGCTCCAACTACCAGGGATTGCATATAACATTTGATATCTCGTTTAGATGTGTTAACGTCATTCCATGTTTTATCTTTCCTCCAATGAGTGGGTCATTCATATTGTTTTCGGAACAAAGAGGCCTATCAAAAAGATGAAGTAGGGTGAAAACAATTTTCTCAAGTTTTTCTCCTTTCTTCAAAGCGCCCCCCCCCCCTCTTCAGGGGACTCACTAACATGTGGGCCAAGCTTAACCCAAGGACGGTGTTCAGGCCACGTCTAGGGCTACCTTTTTCGTAAAAAATCTCTCAATCTTATGGGGCCAATTAGGCCCATAAAAGTCAATCCCAGGGCCTTCGCAACATTTCCGTGAAGACGTGCATTGTTAGACCGATTAGAGGTTTATATCAAGTTTCATGAACCATTTCAATTGGGACGTGTAACGTTAGGCCTGTGTGGAGCTTCTCGTTCCATCACTGCAAGGTCTGATGAAAGAATACCTGGGATTAATATGCCATCACGCTAATTCAGGGATTTCCGTGCATGACATCTTCATATCCCACCACATGGATAGGTCACAGCTAACCACCTCTTCAATATCTGCTCATATCATGAACTAAGCACAAAAACGTTTCATATGGTAAAAAAAGAAATTGATCTGGACATTGACACGAAGGCGGAAGCATTCATGAAGCCGGCATAAATCCTTCCCGATATCCAGCAACACTGGGGAACAGGACCGGAATCCGCACACTTAACCTAAATGAACGACAGCTAATTTCATGGCTTAATGGCGAACGGAATATTTTTTTATTAGTCGGAATACTTTTCCCCAAAACGCCAGAGGAGTGACTACCCATGGGGGGAAATATCGGAATGTAATTCACATCGTCAAAATGCGAAAATCAGTGCTCTACCCAACTCCGGAGGAATTGAAGCTTTAAATTTGATGATGAAATTATGCGTGAAGAAGGAAAAGAAGTATGCACAATTTCTGCCCCCCTCTCCCTTATAGAAAAACCTATTTTGGTGTCGTGAGCTAAATTTACGAATATTAGCCTCTACGCCTAGATCAAAATCGTCAATGTAGACCAAAAACAGAATCGGTCCCAGGACCGAGTCCTGAGGGACACCGCTAGCAACTCCAATTTCTGTCAAAGACTCCTCATTTGCCATTACTTGTTCCTCTCTTCTTGTCAAATAGGCTACTGATTTACTCGCTCGTCCTACCTTGAACCTGGTGCGCGTCCAGTTTAACCCCCGCCCTCTTGTGAGGAACGGTATCGTATGATTTCGCGAACTATAATAGACGTCGTCCACAGGATTCCCATTAAATTTCTGCTCCGCCGCCCAATCGTAGAATTCGTGCAAATTGGAGAGGCAATCTCGACACCTCCTAATGTCATTCTGAGAGTCCCGGATAAGCGCGTTTCTTTTGAGGGAATCCAAAATGTGGTCCCTTAGGTTGCTCCCCTTGGTTTTGCCGGAATACTCTCAAGACTTAACAGCCTATATTAATCTTTTCACCTTTCTTAATGATCACTACTGACGGTCGCTAACTTCCTCGAGCGAAAACTGCATTCAAATGTGATTCTTAGCGGAAACGATATTTCTCTCGCTATTTCCTTGATTACTCTAGACCCGTGGTGTCTAATACGTTCGCCACTCGGCACATTTCACTTTGTATTTTACTGTGTATTAGTCTTGATTGATAACGGTTTACAATCCCAAATCTAATTTCAAAAGATTGCTCATTATTTTTTATTATTAATAGTGCATGCATTTTGTATATTGTGGTGAATATGGTGGTCTGGTCGCCACAAGTTTGGGGAGCATGGAAATCCTATTGTACATCGCTGCTCTAGACTGTTGATCGATTTTGGTCAACCTTGACGTTTTCTCCAGAGGAGGAACAAAGTCTGCATTAGGGGTGGTGCTAGGGAGGGATCCGTCGCCGCAGTTTTTCACCAACTAGGCGCGGAGTGGCTTGTGATTCGAACAACTTCGAGAGAAGAGAGCGCTGACTCACCAGGATGCAGTGGAAGGCCAGGAGGTCCCCCTCAGTATATTCTGTATATCATATTCACTTCTGACTCTCGAACAATCAAATGTCATAAGACCAATAGAATCTTTCGTGCAGGTGCAGAGTCTCATGTACGTGGTGGGGCATTCATTTATGCCACGCACCAAGGAGGGAAATAAAAGGATGAGGAGGGTCAATAGTGGTATCATCGCAGGATTCTCAATTTGAGGATGACAGAAATCGGTTTGTGGCGTCTGGAATCGTCTGACTTGCCTTCTCAGATGATTGAAGTGGATCTACATATGACAGGTGTTCCTGTTAGAACAGAAGAATATTTCTACACAAACAGCAACAGTGATGCCGACCGATATCAATGAACTAATATTTATTCATGTTGCTATTTTCGTAAGAACATGTTTCCGTACCGTGATCAGCCAAAAAAATACGGTACTCTTACGAAGCCGTAGAATTATCAAAAATCGAATGATTCGATCGGAAGAATACGACGCAATCCCTAAGTATATCGAGAGGCGGAAAAAGAGGCGTCCTGTT